TGAGGCCACCCAGGGCTATATAGTGAGTCTGTATCTAAAAAAAAAAATCAACCTCTAAAAAGTGAATGAACTAGCTTCCTTCCATGGTTGGCAGAAATTTGGGGAGTAGTCTTATTTACTTTTCCATATGAATGCTAGAATAAGTATTTTTTTTTAAAAAGCCCATTATTTTAGGTGTAGTGTGTTTAAAATTTACAGATTAATCTACAAGGAAGTTAAATTCATGACTGTTAGTTAGGTCTCCCTACTTACTCCAATCTTTTAAGTTCCTTACACAGTTTGAGTTCCTCAAATTTTGTTTTTCTGTTCACTATTATAATGGAAGAAAAGATCTCACTAACATCTGTTGTTAATTTGGCTTCAGGATTATTTGATATTCTCCAGGAGATCCCAACCTAATAGGTGTACAAGGGGCAGGAATGAGGGGTTCCCTGGGATCCATAGGCTGGAATCTAGAAAGGTATATTTTGTCACTGAATTGTTTAGGATTGTCAGCAACTGTGATAATAAAAAAGCAGACTGACTGAAGGTTTTATTTTTGCTCACAATTTCTCTATGGTGTGGTTCCTTTCACGACCACGGGCAGGGCTGCCCCCACACCTTGGTGTGCCCTGTTCCAAAGAACACTGGAGTCTGAGAACCGTTGTCTTGGAGTCTTCTAGCACTCCCTTCACATTCACTCACTTAATCATGTCCTATTCAGCCAATCTCATATTCTTTCATTGCTTCTCTCTCGCTGTGAGTTTAAAAGAGGTCTTCATGAAGCATGTTTCCTCGGGACTCTGGGAAAACCCACTGATCTGTTCTCTTTGCATCTAGCTCACGTTCTGGGTCTTCAGGCACTGATGGGATTCTATTGCCCCCTTCCTTTCAGCTGAGCCCTGTCTACCTGCCCAGCCTCCCTGTTGCCATTCTGATATGGAATCATCTCTTTAGACTGAGTTCTGTACTTCCATTTGGAACAAACCAGTCTTTTGCACATCCTGAGTGCTCTTCTTGCCACACGACTGATTTTTTTGTTTGTTTTATCCCCTGAGTTCTTATTTCATATAGAACATGGTATTATGAATGATGCATTTAGAAAACTAGTATTCATGATCTACTAGGTAACAGGCTTTGCACATTCACTTCATAATGTCTACTTTAAAGATGAGGAAAATGGAGCTCAGAAGATCCTACAGCCAAGATCCTACAGCATTCCTGTGTCAGCTTTCCATGCCACCATGTCCTTCTCATTGCCCTATGCCCATCAGGATTAGAGTGTCAGACGTGTAGCCCCCAAACTTGGGATGGCCTTTGGAGGAGGCCTCAGGAGATCTTCATAGTGGCCTTCCCCACATCTGCTGTGACATTGAAGCCATTGATGTACAGGTACTGGGCTGCAAGCTTGTGTGTGGAGAAGGCTAGTCGTCAAGCTCAATGTCAATTCATTCATAGTCAGTTTTTCTGATTTTAATTTGCTTACTGACTACTTTCCCCTGGCTTTAACTGACAGTGTGCAGAGGTACTATTTTTCAATGCTTTTGATGTGTTTTGGACTTTAGAAAGCCAATTTGTCTAAGGGTTCTATTCTCCAGAGATGATTGCAGAGGGGAATTGCAGAAGGGAGGTTGGGCAGGCAGACAGGGCTCAGTTGAAATGAAAGGAGGTAACAGAATCCCATCAGCAGGGGAGGGGTATGGGGGGGAATGGGGTAAAATAGAATAAAATTTATTAAAATAAAACAATACCATCATTGCCGGAAGACACAGTGCATGGGCTGGAAACAAAGCAGAGGATAAATTAATGGGAAATGATCCTAGAGTCCTGAGAAAAGATGCTGGAGGCCTCTGTTAGACTCATGGCAGAAAGATAGAGAATCAGTGAAAGAATTGAGAAAAATATAAGAGGTAGCATGGGTACTCTGGTTTCTCATCAGATCGTATAAATCTTTCACCTTTTACTAAAGATTTCCATGGAGAGGAACAATTCTGAGTCTTAACCCAATTTTTTGAGGCCTTGCTTTTAGCAGGGCTAATAAAGGTGTATAATGAAAGAAAAAAAAAAAGAGGTAGCATGAAGAGGGCATTTAAAACTTTGCACCACAGCACATTCAGTAGTTGTTGGGTGTGGTGTATATTTGTGACATTTTGGGAGTTCCCAGTTCTTCCAATATCTTTCTTCTGTTTTGGGACTTCTTCACATTATGACTCCTGACTCTTTGGACCACTTTTTTGGCTTCCCTTGCAGGTAGGGTATGGGCACCTTACTCAAGCTCTGCTAACCAGTTGCAAAACGGTGATTTGAAATACCATAAAGATGGAGGTACTATGCAGCATACTTTCAATCAGTGATCCAAGAGACAGACATCCAGTTGTTAAGGCAGCTGTGACACATCTTAGCTGTAGCATTCCATGTCTGATAACAGGAACACGGGCAGAGATAATAACCCAGTGGCTATAGCAATACCATTTCCCCCGACAGGTTTTATGGTATATAACTTGGGCATCACTCTTGGTAGGCTAAGCCTCCATGCCTCATTCTCTGGCCCTCCCAAAGATCTAGCATGGGTCTTAAAATTCATCAACCCCTTCCCTCTTTTTGGGACGGGGTCTCGCTATATAATGCAGGCTGGCTTTGGACTCACTGTGTAGCCCAGGCTACATCCTCCTGCCTCAGCCCCCAGCCTTGGGATCATAGGTGTATGCCACCACACCCAAAAATAAATTCCTTTTTGCTTAAACTAGCTTGGGTGGGTTCTGTTTGCAATTCTGATAGGTAACATGAAGTTGTGAATCCTTGTGGCTTCCATTTCTCTATTTTAAATGCTTTTAAGGGCTCCAGAGGTAACTCAATGGTAGAGGACCTGCCTAGCATGCCAGAGGCCCTGAATTCAATCCCTAGTACTGAAAACAAACAAACAAACAAACAAACAAACACTTAAATGCCTTTCTTTCCCAGTTCCTCCAATTTATACATTATAATTGTCTGACTGAACTCTGAAACACGAGATTATCTATACCATTAAGGCCCAATTTAAAGATATTAGGATGTGGGCCTGGGATTTAGCTCAGTGGCACCATGCCTGCCTGCGAAGTGCAAGGTCTGGCATTCAATTCCTGGTGCTGAGAAAAATGAGTGCATGCGTGTGCTCACACATACACACAGGTATTAGGATGCAAGGAAATGTATCTATATTCAGACCATGTCCACTATCCACCTTGTTTTAAAATTCTCTACATAATCCTATCAATCAGAATGCGCTGAAAAGGCAGGCATGGTAGTAAACGCCTGTAATCCTAGCACCCGAGAGACTGAGGCAGAAGGATCATCAGAGTTTAAGGCCAGCCTGGGTTACATAGTGAGTTTAAAAATAGCCTGAACTGCCTAGTGAGACCCTGTCTCAAAAAACTGAAGAAGAAAAAAAAAGAATGTCTGCAAACTTCATAAATCTTAATTTAAAAAAGAGGAATAGCTGGGCATGGTGGTACATGCCTATAATCTCAGCACTTGGGAGGCTGAGGCAGAAGAATCACTGTGAATTTGAGGCCAGCCTGGGCTACATAGTGAACTCAAGGCCAGGCTGAACTACACAGAGACCCTGTCTCAAAAAAATAAAATAAATAAAATAAAATAAAAAGAGGAATATTTGGTAGACAGAAATCTTTCGGCAAAGAGCTGTCTTCTCAGGACAGTTCCTGGATGCCCAGTGGCCGCGCTCACGTCAGTTCTGCGTGGGGCTCGTGCCAGTACCAGCCTGGCGTGCAGCTGGAAAGCTGGCACTCATCTCTCAGACCACCATTGGCTGATGCTGCCTGTGGCTGTGACTCTCCCTCTCCAGAACCTCCACCACATATGAAGACACAAGCATATTTGGGTTTCGATGACAGACTTTTCTATTCTGTAGTATTTGTTTAATGTGTTAGCTTACATCTCTGACTAAACAGTTAATCACATAGGGACAAGAATCATAGCTTATGTTTCCTTTTGTATTTCTCATAGCACTGAAAAGTTCTGAACATTGTAAGGGTTTAATAAATATTTGTTGAATTATTTCCCTCTTTTTGGAGTGGAGTATAAATTATATGGCTGTCCCATCACTACATCTATGTGTGTGGGGAGGGGAGGGAGGGGTATCTGAGCATCAATAAATAAACTCTAGATATGGAGTTTGGAGTCAGAAAAGCCAAAGATGCATATCTCAGCCTGGGTGGGCAGCTTTTCCTTACTTTGTCATGTATAAACTGGAGGCACATAACAACACCCACTCCAACCATCTCCCAGGGTTATTGGGAGCTTTGTAAAAGATAATATGTACCTAAAGTACTTGTGACTATTATCTAATCCACATGATGGGACAGACAGGGGAGTGGAGGAGGCATTAACATTAGTGTGTGGAAAGGGGGTCATGGTTGACCCCACTGACTTTAGTCTCACCTGCCAGGGACAGTGGGTTTTATTGCACTGGGCTGTTATTTTTCTAAGTGTTTCTAGGCAGGCTTAGATAATCTTTTAAATTAATTAATTAATTAATTAATTAATTAATTTTTTAGTACTGGGGATCGAACTCAGGACCTTGCACTTTTGAGGCAGGTGGCGGAACCACTGAGCTAAATCTCCGGCCCAATCTTTCTATTTTAAGTGTCAATTCCTTTGTAAGAAAGATCATTTTATTTTTATTTTTGGGGTTTTTTTTTTTTTTTTTTGAAATGGGGTCTCACTCTATAATTCAGTCTGGGCTTGGACTCACTATGTAGCACAGGGTGACCCTGTTTCTTTTCCTTTTTTTTTGGCACTGGGGATCAAACTTGGGACCTTTCACTTTCGAGGCAGGTGGCGGCACCACTGAGCTAAATCCCTGGCCCCTGGTGGCTTTGAACTCACAGAGAACCCTCTGCCTCAGCCTCCAGAGTGCTGGGATAATAGGCGTGTGCCACCATGCCTGGTTTTAGATAATCTTCCTTTTCTGCTTTAGACTTCATAACATGTAAACTCATAGCCCAACTCCCTGCCCCACTCACCACTTGGCTCAGGTCCTTATGTTATAGTTTCTGCTTCTTCTTGCTTCGCGTGAGGGCAGTTATTGTCTTACAAAAACCAGTTGGATTCCATCACTCCCCACTTTAAGCTCTCCTTTGTTGGATATTTATGGTGTATCTATGTGTAAAGAAGAAAGCCCAGTTATGAGGCTTTTGCAATTAGGAGAGAGACACTGGATGTATGAACTGGGCTCTAGAGGTGGGAAAGATTTGAGAAATACATAAAACATATAAAACCAAACTGTGTGTGTTGTTATACAAAATGTGAACATTAGTAGTTTTATAATTTCTTCTATTAATTTATGCTTTTGCACATCTATCATTCTAGGCACTGCAAATATAAGAGAACACAGACAGAGATCATAACCTCTAGTGAGGAGAGAAAGAATACAGTGTATAGAAAGTAAATAGGAAGTCAATCAGAGCCAAATGACAGTGAATGGGAACTTCCTGAGATAAACTGGTTAGGGGAGAGTCCTCTAAGGAAGTGATATCTGAGGTGAAGGGAGGATGAGGAAAGATGAGGAGACAGACTTGGAGAATATTTTAGAAGAAAAAGGAAGAGCAAAGGTACTTGGGAGGGAAATAGTTTGGCATTTTTTGAGAAAAGCATGCCCATGTGGGTGCCCAGCAGTGCACTGGGGCAAGTCTTATGATGGGGTAGAGAGGGAAGCAGGAACCTTAAAACCTTTGCAGTCATTGTCAGGAGCTCAAATTTTCTTCTAAGATTGGAAACCACTGGGTGGCTCTGAGCTAGGGGAAAACAGTGTGGTTTATACTTTAAGAGTCATTTTGGCTCCTTAGTGAAGAAGAGATTTCAGGGGTCAGGGTGGAGGTGGGCAAGAATTGAAGCAGGACGATGGGGCATCAACTCTGCTGGGTTCCTTGGTGACTTGGATAGGAAGTGTCACGGTATGGAGAGGTGGTCAGACCCGAGTCTGCCTAACAGGTCATTCAGACTGCTTACTGACAGACTGGTGGGATGTGAAGGTGGGAGGTCAGAAGGAATCAAGGATGACTTGAGTTGGCTGGAAATGCCATTTTCTGAAACAAGTGGGAAAGAAAAAGATTTGGGGAAAAAAAAGTCAACTTCAACTCTGCATTATGTTAAGTGTGACATACTAGTCACTTCAGTGATGATGACAAATGCCAGTTGGAGGAATAAGCTTGAAGCTCTGGGAGAGGTTTGGTTGTAGATTTACTTTTGTGATTCACCCATATGTAGGTGATATTTCCAGTCACAGGGCTGGGAAGGATCACCCTGGGAGAGCCAGTAACCAGATCAGAGAGTAGGGTGGAAGGCAGCTCTGGAATTCCACAGCACGTGCCAGCAGAGAACACGGGCTGAGGGGCTTGGGGGAATGCAGCTGGGCCGGAACCCAGCAGAGTGAAGCCTCTGGCTCTGAGTGGGCAAGGAAAGTGTGTTTGGGTCCAAATGGAGGATGAAATCTCCTGTCCCCAGCATCGCTGAGAGGTGGAATAAAGCTGGACAGGAAAGAGAAGAGAGCACAAGATTTACAACACGTAGGTCACTGTGGTGACTGGGACCAAAGCAATTCGGGCCCAAATCTGACAGGTGAGGAAGGGTAGGGCTGTATAGTTGACAAGGCTATCCACCTTTCAGGTTTTGCTGAGGCTGGTAGGTTTTACTGTTTATCCCTGTGGTATTCTTGTTTTCCAACAAAGAGCATTTATTTCTCATGTAATAATGTCTACACACATTGCAGAAGCACCCTACCGAGGAGAGAAGCTCCTCAGTAGAACATGGCAGATCTTTACCTTCCCTCCACTGTGACTTCTCCAACCCTAGGCTTATCTTTCTCCACTAGTATTAACCTTGTGTTTTCTGAGGTTGGTATTGCATTGCCACTCCACCAAAATACATAAATTTGGAGTCTGGTGCCAGGCATTAGCTATGGCTGGGGTTCCTGCTCCTGTCAGCTTCTGAAGCCACCCTGCCCCACCCAATTCCAGCTCATCCTGTTACACTTTCCATTCACTTAGTTTCACCCACATTTCAGCCCCACAGCTGCAGACAATGCCCCTTCCCACTGTCTACTTCCCTGGCTCCTAGAAAGGCAGGATTCTATAATGGGGAATCGAATAGGGTCTCAAATAAAAAGAATGTGAATTTCTTTCTCCATCTGCAACTTGTTGGCTGTGTGATCTTGGGAAAATCTAACAGTGCTGTGCTTTGATTTCCGTATCTGTAAAACGGGGTTGGTGTAACTTACATTCCTATCGGCGATGTGAGGGTTAGATGGGAGGATTTTCATAATTTTGGCATACAGTAAGCAGCAGCTAAGGCGGCTCACTTCGCATCGCCGATGGGTGGACGGGTTGAGCTAGAATAGGTGAGAACACGGATGCTTCAGACGTGTGATGGAGCCCCTCACATGATCCCGAGATACCAGGTGGTATATCTCCTCTGGACAGGGCGTGTGCTAGTCCAGTGACTTGTCTTTCCAGTCCTCCCACCTCTCCTGGATCCGCGATCACGCGGCCCCCAGTAGTAGCTCGGGCTGACGCGGCGGTGGCTCATGCGCCTTAGCGTCCCAGCTTCTTGCCACGGAACACACGTCCCATCCCGACACCAGGTCCCGCCCCGCGCCCCAGGCGCGCCTCTCCAGCCAGCCAGCTAGGGTGTCAAGAGCTGCCGCGCCTGCGGGCCGTGCGCGCTGATTGGCTGTGCTGCGCCGAAGGGCGGCCCGCGGGCGCACACACCCTCTCTGCGCAGCCAATGGGAGCGCGCACGTCATTGAGCGGGCGGCCCGCGAGCCGGCAGCTCTTCAATAAGGCACATTGTTGCACGAAACTCCAGCGCTGGAGTCCCAGGTTACTAGCAACGCCGTGTCACTCATCTGAGAAGATTCGCTCAGTCAGAGCATCGTGTGAGTGAGTCTGAGAGGTCCCACTACCCTAGTGGAGCTTGGCTGTGATTCTTCCTAAGTGACCCTGTGGCTGAAGCTAGCGCCTTGACACTGGGTAACCAAACAAGTTGCCAGGAGTGTTACTTACTTAGGCAGTTTCCAGCAGTTGTTACTCCAAAAACCTGTTTCTGGAGACCTGAGCGCCCCCTCCCCGGCCGGCCTACAATCGCTGTTAGCCTGCTTTGTGTGCCACCCGGGAGCCGAGCCCCGGTACAAAGCGGTCGGACCGCGCCACCGGCCTCCCCTGCAAGCCTTTGCTTCTTGGTTTCCCAACTTCACTCCGTCTGGCCTCAGCAGGATGATTGCCTCGCATTTGATCGCCTGCCTCTTCACGGAGCTCAACCGTAACCAAGTGCAGAAGGTAAGCCAGCAAGAGCAGGGGTGGTGGCTCACTTTTGACAAAGTTGCGTGGTCTCCCGGAACTCCTGGGTCCTGCTTCCTTATTCGGGGCCGTGGACGCGGAAAAAGTCGGGTAGCTGGGAGACTCCGGGGCACGAGGAGCCACGTCTCCTAGGCACTGGCCGGCTGTCGCGCGCCTGAGAGCGCCCTCCCCTTCCCTGTGGTCCTGCGCGCGCTTGCCCTCTCCTACCCCCTTTTTTCTTGTTTCTGGAGGGGCGCAGGCCGGCACGTAGTCTAGGACTGCCGGGGCCACGTGGGAGGAGCCCTCCTTCTGAAGCCGGAGTTCCGGCGAGAGCACGTGGAGGAGAATCGCGGCTGGGGGAGGAGGCTCTGTGGCCGCGTAGGGCAGCCGGGGGCCTCAGGCGCTTAAGGATGCATTTAGGAAGGGTGCTATTTCTCCTGTGATTCCTCACCACCCTGCGGAGACCGATCGGAGGGAAAGCCGACCCAGGGAGAAGCGGGAAAAGACGCAGAGGAACTCTGCCCGCGCGCCCCTTCCCCGGAACTGAGGCTGGGCGAGGGGCGACCATTCTCCCGCATCCGTCCCGTAGATCTGCCCCCGAGTTGGGGTTAGATTTTTAGACACTTTTTAGTTTTCGCGTAAAAGTTACTCGGAAAGGACCATTCCCTCTACACCCACCCCCGCTTTCCCAGATCTTTTGAGATTGTTGTTCTGAAAACGAGTTTTTTTTCCCTGCCAGAGGCCACGATCTGTCTGCGCCTACCTGGCTCTTCCCTCACCCAACCCGAGCTTTCGCTGAGGCCCGCAGGTGATTTACATAAGAAAGAGCCTCGGGCCTAGCCGGGGTTTTCACTATCCCTGCCTCGGGGTGTGAAGGTGGGGGTGGGTCAGGGCCAGACTCCGGGCTCTCAAATTCGAGGGGAATTGAGTTTCTGAAATGCCCAAATTCAGGGATTGGATCTTGGCCGGGGTCTTGGCTAGGATTTAAAGGACGGCATGGTTGGGGGGGGGGGCAGTGGTTAGGGTTGGGAGGGTTTTAGGGCTGTGAGGCAAGTACTGAGTATTGCTCAATTACATACTTGAAATTTCAGTGTCTAATGAGAACACCTTTTAGGGAAAATGTCTGGACATCCTCTGTAGGTCTTCCTTCCCCTCTGTAAGTCTTAGGGCTGTGTCCTCATTCTGGCAGTCCTGATTGGCCTAGGGGACAGTATGATGAGTTACCGTCTTGATATTTCCAAAGCCGTGGAAGATGAATCTCAGACATTGTGTCACTTTGTAGGTCAGACTATCCTTGAATTCACTATGTAGCCCTGGCTGATCTTGAACTCTCGGCGATCCTCCTGCCTCACCCTCCCCAGTGCTGGGATTACAGGCATGCACCACCACGCCCAGCCGTGGCCCTGCACTCTAATTCTGTTAATTTTAAACGTGTCTTTGAGCTGGCAGGATCTTGGCAACTTCTTCCAAGATATGAGTTAACTCTTGGGAGAAGACTGTCATCTCTCTGCAAGTCCTGAAATACAAAGTGGAGGATCATTAATACCAGGGATGTCTTCTCATTTGAGTGACTATTGCTCCAGGGCATTTTAAATTCTTTCACAAAGTTACTTATCCCTAGCCTAGAGGCTTAAAGGTAGGGCTGGAACTGTAGAGTTACACTGCTTCTGTGGCCTGGAATGATCATCTTCTGTCCCAGAGTGGAAATAATTGAGCTTGAGTATTGGGAAATGATTTGAGTTCCTTGTAGCCACAGGGCCTTGTAGCCTCTTTGGATCACCCATTTCTTTTTTGTAAGACTTAGATGACTGAAGCCTTGTCCACTTTATGGAGCAGTGATGATGAAGTACAATAATGTAGAAATATCTTTCCTGTAGGCCTCTCTTCTTCACACTTGCAGCCAGCCACCTTTTCAGCCTGTGAAGTTCCCCTGAGGATACTTGGGCGTATTTCTTCTAAGTTACCAATGGGGGCAGAATTGAATAAGGCCTTTAACTCATCAGGTGTCAGGCATGGGATTTAGATTGCCAGTTTAGGTAACTAAAGCGGGTTTATTGAGCAAAGCTGTTTGATTCCAGCTGAATTAGGAAGAGGAGAATCAGAGTATTTTGGGAGTGTTCTGATGAGTCGCTCCTGGAAGGAAACATTAGAGAAGGCTGAAGCTTGAGTTTTACTCATTTACTTGTTTGTTCTTTTTGAGACAGGGTCTTACTATGTAGTTGAGGTTGGCCTTGAACTCACTATGTAGCCCACGCTGGCCTCCAACTTGGAGCAATCCTCCTGCCTCAGCTTCCTGAGTGCTGGGATTATAGGCATGTGCCACCACTTCCGGCCTTTATTTAATAGAGACAAGGTCTCTTTGTAGCCCAGGCTGGCCTCAAACTCATGGCATGCCTCCTGTTTAAGCCTCTTAAGTGCTGGAATTATAGGTGTTAGCCACCATGCCTGCCCCGAAGCTTGAGCTAGCTTGCTCGCTCTTTCTTTCTTTCTTTCTTTTTCTCTCTCTCTCTTTCTTTCTTTCTTTCTTTCTTTCTTTCTTTCTTTCTTTCTTTCTTTGTTTTTGAGACAGTCTCACTATGTAGAGCTTGAGTTTTAGAGTCTTCTGAAAATGTCTTGATTTTGGATTGTCCTGAAATCCACTTGTGATAACATCATTTTATATGTTATAGTCTGTGGCATTGAAGGGTTAGGGAAATAGCCCCATCCAACTCCTGGTGGACAAGCCCAGTGTTTTGAGGCACTGGGAAGAGAGTAAGGATTGTTGCTAATTTTTGCCAATTAAAACTTTGGAACTCAAGACCAAACAGAGCATGTATTGTGTATCTGGCACTTTCAAAGCTTTTGACATAGGTTAGCTCATTGAAACAACTCCATGAGATACGTACAAATGGGTCACAAGGTTTTTGTAAGAGTACTATGTTCCTATTTTGTTCTCTTGCATAAGAGTACCATGTTCTTAACCATATGCTCACCTGTATCTGGGGAACACTAGTGGGATCCTGGCTTGTGCCTGTGCCTGTCCACACCTGGATTGTGGCAGCATTTCTACTCAGTAAGTCTGGAAGTGAACTAGCTCTCCTGCTGGGTTGATGACTGTGAGCCCTGGATTCATTTTCACCAACTTTCCTTTTTCACTGTCACATCTTTGTCACTTGGTATGTGGGTTACTTCAGAGGCTTATGCATTTCTTATTTCTAGTCTCTTTGGAGCCAGGCTAGAGTATTTCAGAAGCCTTCTACAGCTCTGTATTGGCTACTGCAAGCCACTTGGCTCTACCCTTATTCAGTTTTGTCTTCCTCTCCATTTTTTCATTCTCCAGAAACTTGAGTCACCATTCCTCTGTTATGCCTGTTCATGTGAGGTTCTGCTTTTGCCCTTTCTGTGACCCTGAATGTTCAGACTGTTATTTCATTTAACACCCTCCCCTCAAAAGCTACTTCCTCTTTCACACTATTGGTTTCTTTCTTTCTTTTTTTTTTTGCTTAAATTCTTTTATTGGTACATTTTAGGTATACAGTATGTTTACATTTATCATTGGGTGCTTGTACCTGCACATGATGTATCTTGGTTCTTATTTTTTCCTCGTTACCTGTGCACCCTTCACCCCCTCCACTCTTCCTTATTTACATAGACTGTTTCCTGCTTTCTACTTTGCCTGGGTGCCCATGTTGCTGAATTGAATATTTCAAGGCATTTGTTTCATTTTGCCCTACGTTAGAGTTGGTAGTGTCCAGTTCCAGTTTCTTCCTTAGGGCAGGAAGCATCCTGGATATTCAATTTTGTCATCGAAGCTTCTGGTCACTAATTAGTGCAAGAATAAAGGAGGGGACCTTTGTGGAGAAAGAAGTGGAGCAAGGGATGGGTGTGTAGACCCTTCAGGGGAAAGCAGTTCTCAGGGCTACTCCTCCTCCGGATCCCTGGCCTGCCAGGGCTGATCCTGAGGGAGGGGAGAGTGTTTCCTTCTCCAGTAATCAAGGTTCGAGTGTTTGTTTGTTTGTGTGTGTGGTCATTTTTTTGAGGTGAACAAATGCAAGACGCAAGATTTTTGTCTCAGGAACAAGAATCAGAGCTAAGTTAACTAAAAGTGAAATGAAGTGTATAATTTTTTTGCCATGATCAAATTGTTTTAACGTGCACAGACTAGTGATATTTAACTCTAATCCTGAAATAAAGGCTCCTTACCATATAGCAAGGGGTGACCTTCAACTTGGACTTGAGTGGGGACTGTCTTGGGAGCAGAAAGATTCAGCACAACCTCCACGAGTCTAGATAGACAAGAATTTTACTTTTTTTTTTCATACTGGGGATGGAACTCAGGACCTTGCCCTTGTGAAGCAGAAGCAGCACCACTGAGCTAAATCCCCAGCCCTAGACAAGAAGTTACTAAAGGTACAAGGCCCTCTGGGGATTATGTAAGAAACAGAAACCAAGACACCTTTCAGATGTCTGGAGAGATAAGGTTCCAGGAAAGATAATTTATGGCCATTAACACTAAAGGGGGTACATCACGATGGCTTGGTGGGGAGTTAGACCTCAACAGAACCTTCATACATTTTGAACACCTACTGAATGCTATTTAAAGTAATAGGAGTGGTCTACTGATTAAAATCTTAAGATTATTTTTGACTGGGTTAGTTTTGGCTAGGTTAACTGTTGTTGACAGGTACAGTGTGTCATTTCTTCAATTTGTAACATCTTAGTATCCTAATACTACCCCTTCTCCTGCTCAGAAGACACGCTTGCTAAATAACCATCTGCCTCATATCACCAAAGTCCTATTTCAGAGAATGCTAAGAAGAACTTTTATCTTTACCCTTGCATGAATTAAAATTCTCTCTGAGGCTGCTCAGCCAAAGCCAACACCTTTTTTAACATCCTTTTTCAAAGTCAAACTTTTGTAGCACCTGAGGAGTTCGGGGGCAGTTGGGGACCTCATTCCAAGGACAATCAGAGCAACACAAACTGCAAAGTTAAAAGGTGGTAGCTGGAGTAAGGAAATA